CCTACTAAGATATTTTATATAGCACCTTTCAGCATAAAACAGCTGTAGCAGAAGCATTCATGTTGTGGGCCCTGTCAGATTCCAATGAATCTGCTAAATTCTGCTACATACCTTGTCATCAACAATCACAAATGTGCACAATTCTGGAAAAAAAAATCTAGTTTATGACAAGGACATGAGAAACAGCAGCAGCAGAGAATGTCAAAGCATGTTGCAAATACAGTGAAGAGTGGGGCCTCAGTGTAGTTAACAGTTTTGCCATTGGTTTCAAAAGGACCATAATTCCACCCATGAAGTCTCTCAATATTTCCTTAGGAAAAGCATCTCTATTTTACAGCTGAGTAAGTGAAGGCAATAAAAGAGAAAGTGACTTCAGGCAAGTCCCCAAGTGCATGGAATTCTTGAGAATTCAGCTATTACTCATGCCCAGGCCTGAGCCCAAGCCACTGACCCACATTTAAACCTTGTCCCCATGACTTGAGTGATAGAAGAAATACCACAGCTCATCAACTGTAAGCACTTCACAGTACATTTCCTTTTAGGAGCATAACAAAAACAGATGCCATTTCAGTGTGCAGGCAGATGTTGCTAATTTTGCAGGAAGAAGAGTTGCATCTGCTTTGTGGTGAGACACACCTGAAGCCAAAAGAGCTGCTTTAGGAGCAGCAACAAAATGGTCAGCTATGCTTTCAGTGCTGGAAAATAAATCATTTCACCACAGACCCCATAATTGCATACAATAGCATATAAGAGCTAATAGGGCATTACTGGCTTACTGTTATGAAACTGTCTTGGTTGATGTATCTTCAAGAAGTGTAATGAGAATGGGGGTGACTATTTGTGGTTAGGGATAAGAAGGTTGATAAGCAAATTACAAGACCTGAGTATCTTTATAACATGCTGTTTTGACACCAGCAAAACCTCAGTCACTTTGAGGGGCAGACAGCACAGCTGTTCGTTTCCTGGAGAACATGGCAAGGACAAAGCTTTGCCTATCCAAACCAGAACAGATCCAGACCAGTTCCAATAAGAAAAAACTTGTAGATCACCCTGCTTTCTTGCCTTCATGTTAATTCAGTTATTTATAGAATATGATGCCAAGTTCTTTACAGAGGGAGGCATAGCTCATGTCCATTACAGTGCATCTACATTACAGAAGTTCTGCTGTCAGAGCTACATTGGCCACATGTGTGAAAAGATCACGGCCTGTAGGCGATGTAGCTATGTTAGCAAAAATTCTATTGCTCAGAGGAACTTGATAAAAAAAAAAGGGCAGAAGAACTCCTGCTGGCAGAGCTGCATCTCTACTAGAACAGGGGGTGTGGGGAGGAATTTCAGCTATGGGGGCTATGGCAGCAGGAGCCAAGCAGGGTAGACTAAACCATTCTGAGACGCCGATTCTATGAATGATGCCTGAAATAGGTAGCAGCCCACCCACAGAGCAAGCAACTTATAAAACTCAGCCTGGTAAACAAGGTCTATGAAGGCCCTGAGCAAAAAAGAACCTGATAGCCCAGCTTAGTAGCCAAGTTTTCTGTCCTACTTTGCAAATGCACCTTTGAAAATCCTGATAGAAGCCTATTTTGAGGATAATAGGAGTGAAGGGGAAGGCATTCACAAAAGAGGATTTACACCAAGGAATAGTTCAGATAGAAGTGAGAGTGCAGTTTACAAGAGAAACTTATAGCAAGATTCAGGCAGGGTAGTCTGGTGTTGAACCACACTTGATACAAGACAAGAGGGGGACACTGACAGGGCAATTCAGTAAGAGGACTATAGTAGCAGCAGTGCACTGACTAGACAGGGACTAGCTGGCAGGATAGGATGTACAGTCATGAGGGAACATGACACTTTTCAAAAAACAAAAACAAAACAAAACTTAGCAGGTACCTACTATTCACTGCTTAGTGCATAGTAAAAAATAACTACTCTTCCCTTGGCACAAAGATCTACCGAAGACTTCATTAGCTGCATGGGTAAGGTCTTCCTCTTCAGAAAACCATGTATTATAATATTTACAAAATTGTACTGAATACATTAGGTCTGGCTGACCCTTTAGGCAAGGTTGCAATACAAACAACTATGCCTATGAGCCATCCCCACCAAGTCACTATACTGCGTGCTCATCCACAGGCAGCTCTGCACAGCTCCCTTACAGCAGCTCTGCTAGAAGACTGCAGGAGAGCACCAACTGCTGAACAGACTGCAAGTGTCCTTAGCTAGCTGCTGGGCAGCTGAGCTAGACTTTGCTGACAAAACTTAGAGGCGAGGTTCTAGTCTAGGATGCCCTGGAACAGTCATGAGCCACAGCAAGACTTAAGCTGCACAACCATGTTGGGAGACTAAAAACTCATTTTCGCCTGAGATCAGAGTGAATTTGAAGCTAGGCAAAGCAGAAGACTGAAGCACTATAAAGTGGAATTTCTATTGAGTCTGTCTAGACAATTAGGGAGCCTGAATGCAGAATGGTTTAAACATTAAACCTTGATGCATGCCTCAAAAAATGCCTTTTGCTTGTTTTTTAATATAGAAAAATACTAGAGAAGTATTCTTCTGTTGCAAAGAACTTGGAAAGACCAAAACAGCAGAATGCTTTTAATGCTAGGGATTTCTACTTGAAATCTCTGGGGGTTTTCCAAATCACGTTTACACACCTAACAGTGCTAACATTGCATGGCACTCCACATCACCCCTGAAAGGATGCCAGGGCATTCCAGGGTGCTGTGGCACCCTGGATGAGAACCACTGCCCTAGACAGAAACAATGCAATACATTCATGTTGTGACACATGCCCAATATACACGTATAGACATGCCTGGCTACTGGAAAACATATCCGCACGTGTTAGACTTCCAAGTTTCCAGATATACCCTTCTATCTTTTACTCAATAGGCAAGACGGAAGTAGAAAGCTTCTAACATGTCACCAGAATATTAAAGCACAAGCCTGTAGAAAACTTGTGTCGTTTATACAATACCAGGTGTATATGTAAAACTGTATAACCCGAAACAGTAGAATGTGCTGCGTTGCAGGATCAAAACACCTGAATTGCTTCATGTGCAGAACTCCAAATCCAGGTATCCTTCAGCCAGCTGCCCAGATATTAGGTGCTCAGAGGCTTTGGGGCACTGATACCCTATACATTTAAATATAAAGAACTGAAAGTTTTGAGGCAATGGAAAGTAACTTTGATAATGAAGTAAACACATGGTACAGAGAATACAGTGACTTTATCATGTGTTCTGCACAGGAAACAGCAGCTTTAGATAGTTACTTCTTGAATGCTGAAGATAACCTGGTGCATGGACCGCATGATTGCATCAGTGCTATGTACATGTGCACAGGTCCTGCCGATAACTGCAGAAGTTCGAACCCAGCTCATTAGCTGGGTGACTGAATAGGCAGGCTTGAAATCATGCTTCCCCTACAGAGTGGATTTAATTGCAAAGTCACCGGGGTAAGCCTGAAGGCATTTTATTGAGGTTGAAGAAAAAGAAAAGGTAGGAAGGAGATAAGTTAGAGCTCTAGAAGAGGAATCCTTGACATAATGCAGTGTGTAAATCAGAGATTCCCAACCACCGGGACGTGGCAAAATAATAGGCTGCAGCAGGTTAACCTCAGGTTCGTGGCACAAGTCCCCCCTTGCAGCCCCATCTGTCCACCCAGATGAGCGGCTTCTGGGTTCACAGCTGAGCTTCTGGGGTTAAAGCTGGACAGCAGGGGAGCCCCGGGAGGGAGGCAGCTCGCTCCGTGCACCCAGTCTTGCTTCCACCGGGCCACGGTAAAAAAACGGTTGGGAACCACTGGTGTAGATGAAGGAGTGCTAGGATGCCCCATAATCTGTTTCACTAGCTCCATCTGGAGGCTATTTTCTTTTTACCTATGACTGCAAAATCACTGGTAAGGGGACATGAAGTGAGTGGTTGAAGTTACTTGGTTCTAGACTTAAGTGTAAGGGGGTGGGGTAGGGGGTTGCTAACAAAACAACCAACTTATTGAGCAAGGAAAAAAAGTAGTGGCTCAGAGAGACTATACCCAAGCCCAGGCATTATGTACATGGAAATTTAAAAAAGGTGAACAGCTATCACAGCAACATACTTATTTCTTTGTTTACAAGACAAAATTTAATAAACATTTCTATAAAGGTCCCTTACATATAAATGCCCTGGCTGGCTCAGACTTTCAAGTCTAGTACCCTGTTGCCAACAACAAATGCTTCAAAGAAAGGTCCAAGAAGTTACACAGCTACATAACCTGTACCTTGTAAAGATATCAGGCCGAATGGAGCAAGGGTTAGATGCCTTTAATACTTTTTTTCATGTCATATGTAATTAGACTGAATCTTGTCGCTAGAGAATGTTCTTTTCTCTAAGAACTGAGCAAGATTCAGTGAGGGACTGGATATATCTGCAAGTAACAAGAATATCCAGAATTATAGTCAATGCTGTAAAGTATTTCCTTTGAGTGGTATTAGGTCACCATTAAATTTCATTGAATGTCCTCCTGTCCTTTATTCTCTCATAAAGGAAGAGAAACTCCTGATGCACCATCTCCAAACAACTGATTTTTTACATTCCTTTGTCATATCTTCTTTTGTGGCTTTAAAGGTAAGCCACCCTAATTTTTTTTTCAGTTTTTCATCCGAGATTTTTTTCCACACCCTACATAATCTCATTTCTTAGCATTCCTTGCCAATTTCACATGAAGGTCTTTTGTATTTGAGTTCCAAAAGCTTCAGCAGCATTGCTTTAATTTTTCTTTAAAATGAAACAAGTTTTATTAAGAAAACTCTTGAATTCTGGGTCACAGTTGCCCTCATAATGACTTCTTAAGTATCAGAAACATTAGCTTTTTCATGTTTATTATATAAAACTAGGCCCGACTCATCAAGCATGATGTAGAGATTTTGTTTTTATATACAAAAGGAAAATACACAACTATTTTGTTTACACATTTTCACATCAAACAAAGACCAGCCCAACTGCAGAAGGGAGGGATGAAAAAAGAATACTGTGGGCAAGATCTGGGAGTCTTAAGATTTTTTTTATAAAACAAAAGCACAAAAGCAGTGAATAGGAGGTAACTACCAGAGTGAGTGTTGATGCCCTGCAACCCCGAACAGCAAATGGAGAGACGACTCTTTTGCCACTCACTCAACAGTATATGGGGAAGCTGACCGAGGTGGCTCTGGGGTCAGAGAGACCATGCTGCTTCGTAGAGAGCAGGGGAGGCTTAATAGCCATATTTTTCATTCAGATGAGTCTTCCCATCTCCACTTTGACCTGATTGACAAAGAAAAACAAAACAAAACAAACAGCACTGCCCTTCAAGATCAACTCATAGCAAAGAATGAAACTTTATCCCTGGAGAGCACTTGTCAGACAGGCAGAAAGAGGATAACAACTAAGACTTGGATTCCACAACACCAATCTCCTTTTGACACATGCTTAAAATACTTACCAACAGCAGAGGCAATATCTATGCAAGGTTACAAAATCTTTTCCATTGATATGGTTTCTTTAATGTCCCCATTATGGCAGCTCAGACAAGTAACAAATCCTCCTATGTCTACCCTGGGGGTCTTCACTACCCTGGGGGTCTTCAAGAGGAGGTTAGATGAGTATCTAGC